CTCGGATGGCCGGTCCCCACCGCTGGGCCTGCATGTCGGCCATCGGGGTCCAGTGCGGAGAGCCCTTGGTCCTGGGAGCCAGGACGCGGCCCGTCACAGACACAGGTTCCTGGGGAAACCTGGTGCTGTACCTTTATTAGACCTGCTTCTGGGTCGGGGTGGGGCTTCGTACAAAGCAGAGCAGCTCCCTCCCTGCGATTTATTGAGAGTCAGCCCTCGACACAAGGTTTGTAAAAAAAGTATGAAAAAGATGAAAAATAAGTAAGATAATAAGGGGCCAGCAGGTAGTGTGGTTGAAGTTTGGATTCCCACACAGCAGGCCGCACTCTGAGTCCTGGACCTGTGACTTGCTTTCTCACTTTCCCTCTCTTTCCTCTCCACCCTCATGTCTCTCTGGTCATATTAAAAAATAATAATTTTTTTAAAAAGTAACATGGGACCAGCAGATGTCATAATGACTGCATTGCTGGACTCCCAGACCTGGTGCCCTGCTTTCTCTCTCCCTCTTTCTCTGGTGAGCACATGTGTCCTATAGCAAATTAAAATCATCATAATATCAAATAAAATTGAATCGTATTATTTTAACAATTATTTTATTTAACGTTATTTGTTTGTTTGACCAGAGAAGGACAGAGCGAGAGAGAGGGAAAGTAAGAAAGCAAGCCACCAGGTCTGGGACTCAAACCAGTTGGCCATGTGGGAATCCAGCGTTCTTAACCACCACACTACCTGCTGGCCCAAAAATTCTTTAAAAACAATAATAAATATTTTAAGTTCTACGGAGAAACGGCTTTTTACTTTTTTAAGGATTATTTTATTGGGACCAGCAGTTAGCATAATGGTCCACGTCACTGGACTCCCATGTAGTCTACCGCGGTTTGAGTCCCGGATCTGGTGGCTTAAACTCACGCTGGGCGCGTGTGCATGCGTGCCCAAGATCCCAAGAGGAGAATGGAGGAGAAGGGATTACAGCGTGGCCAACCCCCCCGGGGGGTGATTTCTCGCTTTCTGTCTCTCTGGCGAGCACATGCACCCTATAGCAAAAACCTCTCCAAAAAAAGAAAAAGAAAAAATAATTATTTTATTTAACTTTATTTATTTGGTTTGATTTGACCAGAGGGGAGAGAGAAAGTGAAAAAGCAAGCTTCCAGGTCCAGGACTCGAACTGCAGTTGGTCATGTGGGTGTCTAGCACCTTTAACCACCACACCACCTGCCAGCCCCAGTAATAATTCTTTTAAGGATTATTTTAACTTCGGGACCAGCAGTTAGCAATAATGGCTATGTCACTGGACTGCCACGTAATCGACCATGGTTCATGTCCCAGACCCAGTGGCTTTAAAACTCACATCAGGTGTGTGTGTGTGGGCGTGCTTGTGCCCAAGATCCCGAGAGGAGAATGGAGAAGGGATTGTGGCATGGCCATTCTCCCTGGGGGGTGATTTCTCACTTTCTATCTCTCTGCCTATGTCTGGCGAGCGCACGTGCCCTATAGCAAAAAAAAAAAAAAAAAACTCTAAAAAACATAAATAAAAGAATTATTTTAACTTTGTTATTATCGTATCCAAATTTGACCTGAGAGAAAGTAAGAAAGGAAGTTAACAGGTCCAAGACTTGAACCGTGGTTGACCATGTGGGAGTCCAGCACCCTTCACTACACCACCTGCTAACCCAATAATAATTCTTAAGAAAAATCCTGGGACCAGCAGTTAGCGTAATGGCTATGTCGCTGGACTCCCACGTAGTTGACCGCGGTTCGAGTCCTGGTTAAACTCATGCTGGGCATGTGCGTGTGCATGCCCAAGATCCCGAGAGGAGAATGGAGAAGGGATTGCGGCGTGGCCATCCCCCACTGCGGGGTGATTTCTCGCCTTCTGTCTCTATGTCTCTCTCTGTCTTTCTGGCAAGTGCACACACCCTATAGCAAAAACCTCTTCAAAAGAAAAATCCTTGGGACCAGCAGGTTGGTTATGTTGCTAGACTCCCACGTGGTCCACCACAGCTTGAGCCCTGGTCCTGGTGACTTAAAACTCATGCCAGGTATGTGCGTATGGCTGCCCAAGATCCTGAGAGAAGGGGTTGCAGTGTGGCCATCCCCCTGGGGGGGATTCCTCACTTTGTCTCCTACCTCTCCAGCGAGATCATGCGTCTTATAGCAAAACTTTCTCTTAAGAAAAAGAGAAGAAAAATTCTTTACCAGGCAGGTCGATCTGTAAAGCAGCCCTTACAGGCTAGCCGGGCCCTCCCCGTGTGGCCACCACGCACTGATGCCAGGTGCTGAGCCAGTTGCTGAGGGGCAGAACAGGCCTACGTTTCCAGCAAGTGAGCTGGCGTGGGAGAGGCTGCCTTCCTGTCTGCTTTCCCCCAGGCCACATCGCTTCTGACGGGCATCCCAAGACTCTGCCCTTGGCCAGCATTTACCCTCCCCTTTCCCACACAGCACATAGCCAAGTCCCATCTCCAACATCCAAGGATGGCTGATGGTGCCCACTGCCCACGTGTCTCTGACAGGAGGCTGGCCAGTGGCGACTGGGAAGGCCCTCTGTGCCCAGGGGTGGGAGCCACAGCCTGAGAGTGACGGCCGTGCCACCAGGCCTGTGTCTGCCACATCTGGACTGTACAGAGGCAGACCGCCGTGCTACTGCTGAGGGGCACTTGCCCTGGCCCGTTTCACGAGCTGCTTTTGTGGACGACACTGAAGCACTGAGCCAGGCTCCCCTTCACCCTATGGCAGAGTGGGGATCTGAACCTGAACCTCCCTGAACATGCTGATGACGGCAGCCGGGCTCTGAGACCCTCCACTGCACCCTGGCTTTCCATGTTGCTCTCGGGCCCCAGATGACAGGCCCATAAGCAGAGCGTGGGTGGGGAGCCAGGAGCAGCACCTGTCAAGCCAGGCAGCCAACCCAGCAGTTTCCTCTGGGGCAGACGGTTCCAACTGTG